TTACTTAGCCAATAACACAACGAATAGAGATTGTCCCATCTTGTGCTTGTTTTCAATGAATCATTAGCACTGGTGTTGAAAATTCCTGTCAACTTACTGAATGGTAGATTCCGGCATTTGGAACTCGTTCCCTCGTTCGTAAGCATCCTTCCGGACACCACGATCAGCCCATAAATTTTTCAGCGCAATAGTTAGCTCGGGTGTTAAAGGCTCTGATTCGGTACCCGCTTTGATAACATCCATAACGATGCGCGCATCTGCCTGAAAAAGCATCCATTAATTAAACAAGTGATTGTTGGTTGGTTCTAGCTACCTTAAGCAACTTGGTCTGTGAACTACATTTGCGTTGTGCCACCTAAAAAGTTTCAAGGGCACTTCTATCTTGAAATTGTATCATGTAGAATGGGTGGGAAGGGTAAAAAATAAGAGACACAGGTCGATGAAATTTGTCCTGTAAAAATTGTTTGGAGATTGCGCATTTGAATGCACAGTCAGGTTTGCAGACTGTGTTTCATCCCTTAGCTGTAAACACATACAGAGCATCGGATGCGAGTGGGAATGGGAATCATCAGTACAGTCTCTTACTGGCCATGTAAGAAAGCGACAGATTAAAATAAGCATGGCAAGAACAGAAGTGTAGGAAAAGTGTGGAGGAGAGTCAAAGGCAGTTAAAATACAAGAACGCAACGTACGTCTCGTTCAGGATTTTCAAATGGAATGTTGAGGCTTTTCATGCCTCTCAGCAGAGAAGCCATCGCTTGCACTGTATTATTGTATACCACTGATTTTTGCTGCATCACTTCTTCATCAGTAAATCCATGTGTATGCAACAACCTGCAGTTTATTATTTAGACATTATAAACACACACTGGCAAAAACTAATTTGAAATTTAAATAATCCCGGATTAACCGGAAAGTGGTGCAAAATTTCATGGAAATGGGCAAAAATGGTTGACCTCATTTGCTTGAGCACGGTACTTTTGCCACATTCACCTGCTCCTGAAAACAGCATAAATGTAAGAAAAAAAA